ACACGGAAGCCCTCTAGCGGCTGTCAATGAGACAGCCACTATAGGCTGGATTAACCCTAACATAAACATAGCAGTTTCTCTGAAACTGCTAGGTTTATAGAAAAAAGGGTTAACCCTAGATGGACCAGGCACCCAGACCACCTCATTAAGCTGAAGTGGTCTGGGTGACTATAGTGGTCCTTTAAGTACAAGTCTATTAAAGATAAAAGAAACAAAAAAGTTACCTCCCCCTCCACGTATAAGACTCCCAAGTGCCCACCATACCTCAGTCATTAACAAGAAAACACACAGACTTTACCGCTGCAAAATATTTATTATCAAAAAGGGAGGGAGAGCTGTACTGCCACCATATTAGGGAAAAAAGGAATTTCAGGTAAGTAACAATTGCTGTTTTTCCCGGTCATATAGTGGCAGTACAGGAGGGATATAATCCCAAATATAAAAAAAAGGGGGGTGGGCCCATCAGGAAAACACTGCATGAAGCACCTTACGCCCGAAAGAGGCTTCAGAGGCTGAGAAGAGGTCTCGCTGTAATGCTTAATTATAGTTATCAAAGGATGACAAGGAGGCTGCTTTCCAACTGTGTTCTGGAGATTTTGCAGCCCAAGACGTTGCCATAGCTCTGTTAGAGTGTGCCTTTAATGCTTATGCAGTGGTAGGTCAGATGTGGAAAAGGCCAGCTTTATCGTATCTACAAGCCATCTAGATATAGTAATTTTAGAGGACTTACTACTTTCGAATTTTCTAAGATTCACAAAACGGGTAGTCAGATTTTCTGAAATCAGAGGAGCTTAGGATGCACACTTGGAGTGATCTTCTTACATCCAGCATATGTCAGATTCTTTCTTGAGGTGAAGATGCGTTGTTACAAAACAATGGCAATACAATTGGACTGTTTTCGAAATCACTTTTGGCAAAAAAGATGGTTTAGGATGTAAAAATCACCTTGTCATGAAAGAAATATGGTGAACTTGACAGGAGGAAAGGGCCTGCTTCTCACCCACTTTTTTGGCAGATGTGATTGCCACTAGGAACACAGTCTTCAATGTTAGCAGTTTCAAAGGAATTTCTTCAATTACTTCAAAAAGGAGGATAACATATTGCTTTGAGTACAACCGAAAGTCCCAGGAAGGAAAAACAGAAATTTGTACTTACCGTAAATTCTTTTTTTCTTAATATGGTGGCAGTAACTGAAGGGTTATGTTCCTCCTTGTGGACAAGACCTCTTAGCAATTAATCTAAAAAAAGAACCCTCCCCCTTTAACCTATAAAGTGCTGTACTGCCAAACCTACCCCAGTACGTAACAAGAAAGACAATACAGCTCAATATCTACTGCAAAAAATTCTTTAATAACAAAAGGGAGGGGAGTAGTACTGCCACCATATTAAGAATTTACGGTAAGTACAAATTTCTGTTTTTTCAGTCATATGGTGGCAGTAACTGAAGGGATATAGCAAGATCCTCATCTGGGCGGGACTTAGGCCACTACAACTTGTAACACCTTACGCCCAAAGGCTGCTTCAGAGGCAGAGTATAGGTCTAGCCGATAGTGCTTGATAAAGGTGTTAAACGATGACCAGCATGCTGCTTTGCAGATGACCTCTGGAGATGCAAGTGCCTTCTCTGCCCATGAGGTAGCCATTGCCTGAGTTGAATGGGCCTTAAGTGTAGCTGGAGACTGAAGACCTGCTGAAGAATACGCCACTTCTATAGCCTGAATGAGCCAACGGGACAAGGTACCACGGGAAACTACCTTGCCCTTGAGGTGCCCCTGAAAATTAATGAATAGATGATCCGAATTTCTGAATTCTTTTGTTCTTGCTAAATATATAAATAACGCTCTTCTGATGTCCAATTTCTGCCATATGAGCTCTTGAGGAGATGAAGCATCGCTATAAAATGAAGGTAATGTGATTGGCTGCTTAACCGTCTTAGAAGACAACACTTTGGGTAGAAAAGACGGTCTTGGATAAAGAACAACCTTGTCTTTGTGAAAAATGGTGAATTCATCCGAGGAAGATAGAGCGTGAAGTTCTCCCACTCTTTTAGCTGATGTGATGGCTATCAGAAACAAAACCTTGAGAGACAAAATCTTTAATGGAACTTCCTCCAAAGGTTCAAAGGGATGAACACTAAGAGCTTGTAGGACCAGGGTTAAATCCAACGTTGGAAACACAGATCGCCTAGGCGGTCGTTTGAGACTGATGGACCTGAAAAATCGACTGATGAAGACATTGTCAGCCATATCTTTAATTAGAAAAAAACTTAAGACCATATTTAAACCTTGAGCGTGGAGACACCCAGCCCAGCTGTAAACCCATCTTGTAAAAAATGGAGAATGTTTTCTATAGATGGATGCAATACTGGGCACTGGTGTTCCTTACCCCAGTGTAGAACTTAGACCAAATCCTAAAGTATATTTTAGATGTAGATTTTCTAGTAGCATGGAGTAAGATTGCTATTCTGTCTTCTTGTAAACCTTGGTTTTGAAGGATTAGCCTTGCAGTAGCCAAGCTGTCAACCTGAAAATTTCTAGAACTTTCAAGGGCAGGTCCCTGTTCACAATGAGTAGATTTGATCTGGGAAGTTCCCAATGATTGATGGCCATCTCCTTTATGGCCGCAAACCAGACTCTGTTTGGCCAATATGGGATTATCGCCAATACTCTCGCTCTGTCTGTTCGTATTTTGAGAAGGACCTTTGGTATTAAAGGAAAAGGTGGAAAGACATAAGCCAGTCGAAAGTTCCACTCTATCAATAAAGCGTCTATCCAATTGGGTTGATCTGTTCTGCAAAGGGAGGCGAAATTGTGAACCATTTTGCTTGAGGCTCTTGCCATCAAGTCTACTTCTGGAAGACCAAATTTTCTGTCAGGATTCTGAAGATTTCCAGGTTCAAAGACCATTCTTTTTGGTCCCACTTCCCTCTGCTTAGATCGTCGGCTATTATATTGTCGCTGCCTCTTATGTGAACTGCCTTTATGTCTTCCAGATTTTTTTTGTGACCATTCCATAATTTCTGCACAAAGACCGTAAAGCTTCCTTACTTTGGTTCCTCCTTGGCGATTGATATATGAGACTACCGTCCGATTGTCTGATTGGATCTTTGTAGGATCCAAGGCCTGAGGGGATGTAGTGCGTAAAGTACTACTAATAATTCTCTGAAATTTGCGGATTCTTTAGCCTCCCCTAATGACCATCTTCCTTGGAACATGGTGGACCCTAAGTGAGCACCCCAACCTGTCATTGAAGCGTCTGTAGTGACTATCATCCAATCTTTGGGTCGAAAGGATAATCCTCCTGAAAGGCAATCTGAGGTTTTCCACCAAGTAAGCTGATTTTTTACTTAAGGGAATAACCAGAAAATTTCATCTAAATCTTCCTCCTTTTTTGACCAGGTAGTGAGGATATTCCATTGTAAGGTAGTGAGGATATTCCTCTGACCTTGCCCATTTGACAGCTGGAAAGGTGGCAATTAGAAGGCCCAAAACACCCATGGCCTGTCTCAAGGAACAAGTTTCCATCCTTTGGAGATTGGAAATCTCTTCTCAGATTTTCCTCCTTTTTCGTTTGGGAAGAAAAATTGACATGTAGACTGAATTGATCGTGAATCCAAGAAACTCTCTCTCGTGGGGATGAGTACTGACTTTTTTCGGTTTAGGATCCAGCCATGGTTTTGAAGAAACCTTATAGTGATCTGCAGGTCCTTGTGCAGCTGTTCTTCTGTATGTGCAATGATGAGCCAGTCGTCCAAATAAAGGATGATTGAAATACCCAATTCCCTCAAATGAGCTGTTAGAGGAGTAAGGATCTTTGTAAATATCCTTGGGGCAGAAGTCAGACCAAACGGCAGAGCCCTGAACTGGAAATGAACGGTGGATCTTCCTTTTTTTTTTTATAGCAAATCTTAGAAATTTTCTTGAAGCGGTAGCAATTGGAATATGTAGATAAGCATCCTTTAAGTCTGTTTTTACCATAAAGTCGTCTCTTTGTAAAAGGGGAAAAAAAAAAAAAAAAAAATCGAAGTGATTGACTCCATACGAAACCTGTGATAGGGGATAAATTGGTTTATGTACTTTAGGTCCAGAATGGGTCGAAACGAGTGGTCTGGTTTTGGCACCAGAAATAATCTTGAATAGACTCCCTGAAATGTTTGTTTTACTGATACTCTTTTTTTGTAACAGCAGCATGGTTTGACAATATAGGGCTTGTGATTTCTTTGCAGAGTGGTATGTGGATACCAGAAACTTTGTTCTTGGTTCTTTTGTAAATACTATCTTGTGTCCTTGTTGGATCAGATTTAGAACCCAAGGATTTCTTGTGGTCTTTTCCCATACTGGAAAATATTGTTGGAGCCTTCCTCCCACACTTCTGGCATCAGAAACGTCTCTCTTTATCTCTGAAGGTTCTTTTAACGTCACCCCTTTGTTCGAATCTACGATTTTTATCCCTTCTTTGAAAAAATTGCGGCCTCTCTTGATAAGATCTATTTTTATTCTGGTAATTTCTGAATCCTGAGGAAGCACCTTCTTGGTTTCTGACATTTGCCTAATGATTTCTAATGAGCCCCAAATAATTGTGTTTTTTCTAGTGAAAGCTCACAAAGGACTGATTTGGACACTGAATCCGCTGTCCAAGACCTTAACCATAAGGCCCGTCTTGCTACCGAAGACAGTCCCATAATTCTGGATGCCAATTGTAGAACTTCAACTGACATATCCAAAAGGTATTCATTAGCAAAGTGCATTTTCTGAAACAATGGTTAAATTATTTAACCTGGTCAGAAGAAAAAAAAAAAAAAACATCTTGTATCGTATTTAGCCAGATATCATTTGCTCTGGCAACCGCTGCTCCTGCCAGTAAAGCCCTGCATTGGAAACCGGCTGTCTGGTAAGCTCGCCTACAAGAGGTTTCGGCTCTTTTATCCATTGGATTCTTTAAATCTGAAGTTTCCCCTATGGGGATAGTGGTCCTTTTAGCAATCTGCATGACCTGAACATCTACCTTTGGGAGATCTTCCCAAATAAAATCACCAGCCAGTCTGAAGATATCCTTGAAGTGTCTGGAAATAAAGGCACGTTTTTCAGGGTTTCTCCATTCCCTAAAAATGAGATCGACCAGGCTTTGCTGAACACAAAAAACCTTTTTTTAGGATTCTCAGAACCCTGAGGTAGGATGGTTAGGTTTACTTCCTTTATAAATTTTCGAATTTCATCTGAAGGAAACCCAACCGGTTCACTTGAAGAGGATCCTGAATCATCTGAATCAATTGAGGAAATAAATTCCCCAGATGAGCTTTCAGATGTAGACGATGACCTTCTTCTTTTCTTGATCCTTTGTTGTATCGGGGATTCCGCCTTTTTAGACTCCTTAATCGCCTCCAAGGTCTGGGCCAGATTTTCTTGGAACCAGGTTAGGAAAGATTGCATATCTTTTTGCTTATCTCTTTCCAAAGAATTTGCGGTACACTGACTGCACATCTTCTTCCTTGATCCGTCAGGGAGAGGCGTTGCACATTCACTGCAAACTAGATGCTTAGATTTTACCGTAGCCTTTCTAGGCATAGCGGCAGCCAGCTTTTCTTTGTCCAGGTCAGGATAAGCTGGGCTAGACATATCTGTGGAGAATATATATAAATGGAGGTTTTTAGCTTTGATTGAAATTTTTTTCCAGAGAATATTTTAAAGTAAAGATTATTTTTAATCTCACCTCAAAATACCTCTGAGCCGTGTGGGGGGCAAGTGACACGGTGTACTTCTTCTGACCTGCATCCATGCAGTCAGTAGGTACTGCACAGCTTCTTATATTCGCCGGATTTCAATTTTTTTTGTGATATGCATTTAATGTTCTGGTATGCGCATGCGTGTTAGCGCACCCGGAAGCTTAGGTGGACCGCAACACCACCCGGGCGTGCATTCCACCGCTGTGCGCATGCTCAGAACGAGCTCCACCTCCAGGAAGCATTGGCGGAACCATTCTCGGCATAAATAGACTTTCACTCCACTTGCTCCGTAACCTTACCGGTCAGGAACATGGTCTCTCAGCCTACCGACCGGGCAGCTCTCGGACCGGGTCCCCCAGACAAATAACCCGTGTGTCTCACCATCGGATGTCCTGTCCTTCCCTCTCGGGACAAGAAAGAAAACTGGTGTAGGTTTGGCGGTACAGCACTTTATAGGCTAAAGGGTTAGATTAATTGCTAAGATGTCTTGTCCACAAGGACGAACATAACCCTTCAGTTACGGTCACCATATGACAGAAAAAAAAAGGACTTGATAATAGATCTGACAAGTTGTATTGCCATAAAAAAAAAAATCTGCAAATAAGAAGGTCTGAAGCCAGGTTCAAGAGCTGAAAGTTGAACCTTCAATGAAAAAACACTTATTCCCACAGAGAAACCTTCTAGAAGAAAACTTATGATTGAATCAATAAAAGATGAAAAGATATATTCAGTTCGAGATGGTCTGCAACTGCAGAACCGCTCACCCTAAATATAAATCACCAAAATGACACTCCAGTGGTGTCTGAAGGGCTTAACCCAGTGGCGTACATACCAGGGTCGCAGAGGTCGTGGCTGCGACCGAGACCGGCCCACCAGGGGGCCCGGTCGCCCCTGCGAGCCGATATGTAGCCACTGGGCCAGCCTCTTCCCCTGGGGGGCCCAGGAGCCGACCCCCCCGAGGCTGGCCCTGCGGGCGGGTGGCCGGTCGGGCAGGCGGGCGCGCGAGGGAGCACTCAGTGCTTCCTCTTCAGCTCCCTCGCGCACCGCACTGATACCGGAGCCGGAAGATGACGTCATCTTCCGGCGCCGGCATCCCTACGCGGCGAGAGGGAGCTGAAGAGGAAGCACTGAGTGCTCCCTCGCAGCCGCCTGCAACCGCCATCCGCCCAGGAGCCCAGCAGCACCACTGGACCCCAGGGAATCGCCCCAGCACTCCAAAAGGTAAGGAGGCTGGGGGGATTAAATTTAAAAAAAAAAAAAAATGTGTGAGTGTTAGTGTGTGTGTGTCTGCTAGTGAGTGTTAGTGTGTGTGTGTCTGCTACAGTGAGTGTTAGTGTGTGTGTGTTTGTCAATGAAAGTGTATGTTTTGTAAGTGAGTGTGTGTGTATGTATGTCTGTCGCTGACTGTGTCTGTCAGTAAATTTGTGTGTCTGTTAGCTAGTCTTCAGCACTTACCTTTCTCCAGCGCCGGACTCCCTTGGCGCTGAGGATCCCTCAGCCTCTCAGCTCCGAATGCGACCGCGCACGCATTCAAACCGCCCATAGGAAAGCATTACTGAATGCTTTCCTATGGACGTTCAGTGTGCTCCTCTAGCGGCGGTCAACAAGACAGCCACTAGAGGCTGGATTAACCCTCAGTGAAACATAGCTGCTATGTTTTCAGCTGCAGGGTTAAAACTAGAGGGACCTGACACCCAGACAACTTCATTGAGCTGATGTGATCTGGGTGTCTGTAGTGGTCCTTTAAAGGACCACTATAGTGCCAGGAAAACATACTCGTTTTCCTGGCACTATAGTGCCCTGAGGTTGCCCCCACCCTCAGGGACCCCCTCCCGCCCGGCTCTGGAAGGGGAAAGGGGTAAAAGCGTACCTTACCTTTTCCAGCTGGGCGGAGAGCTCTCTCCTCTTAAAATTGCTGTATGCGCCGCAGCGGCAAGAGCTCTTGGCGCATTCAGCGATCACATAGAAAGCATTCATAATGCTTTCCTATGACGCTGGCGTGCTCTCACTGTGAAAATCACAGTGAGAAGCACATGGCTGTCAATGAGACAGCCGCTAAATAGGGGAAAGGCTTAACCCATTCATAAACATAGCAGTTTCTCTGAAACTGCTATGTTTATGAAAAAATGGGTTAACCCTAGCTGGACCTGGCACCCAGACCACTTCATTAAACTGAAGTGGTCTGGGTGCCTAGAGTGGTCCTTTAAGTGTGTGTGCATCTGCATGCACTGGCGTACATGCAGGGGTCGCCCTGTAACCCCTGCGACCAGGTGCCCACGCCATGTGTTGCGCCCGGCCCGGGGCCACGGATCAATTTTCGCACCGGGGCCCCATGGGTCAGGTGTACGCCACTGGCTTAACCCCTATAGATAACAGAAATAACTGGAATATCCTCACTAAAAACAGAACATAGTCTGGTTAATCATCGAAAGCTAGTACACAATTAGAAATTCTATCTAGGAACCAAAAGTTAAATAGATGAGTCAGTGTGAAAGCTAAAGCAAACTTGCTTTTCTCTGACTGGAAATTAACTCAATATAATCCCTATGGTAAAGGCTTTATTTAGAATGGCCAAGCAAAGGGGCATTTAAGGGTTAATTTATTAGCGAGATAAAGAGAGATTATCTATTCCTTACAACAATGTTCACTCTGGTTTGTGAGCATATGAAGCTTGGCTAATAGACAAATGCCTTTGGGCATATACCAAGTAGTTCTATCTTGGTGTAGTATTGTCTCTAGACAGCACTTTAAAGTCTAGCTGAAAGATAGTGCAACATGGAAATAGAATAAAGCCTCTCTTCCTGTTTATCTAGCTAGACAGTCAGAGTTTAGAAAGAGAAAGGTGAAATTAAGTGCTATAAAAATTATTCCATGCTAGAAAATGCATGGTATAATGCACCAATGTGATAATGTGCCTTGTGAATAAAAAGTTGCCTGACGCACGTTTTGGTGCACTGCACTTATCTCACCTCAGAAACCTGTGACCCGTGTGGAGGGGGGCATGGGGGAAACACAGGAGATCCTTATTTACAATATCCAGTGTTAAAATAAGGATTTACACAGCTTAAATACCTTATTTTCCAGGTACTGGTGCCAAATTTTTAAAATTCCGGTCCACGCATGCGCAGTAACGTGGTCGACACTTCAGTGGAACACAAGGCCTCCCAGGTGTGCATTCCACCGCTATACGCATGCATCCAATCTACGCATTGATTGGCCATACTCTGAGTGCGCCATTTCCTCTGTGCCGGAAACTCTCTCACCATAAAACTCCAGCTAGTTACTGCTCTGTAACTTAGCTCGCTGCCTGGGGAGCTCTCGGACCTGATCCCCCTGGCATCATCCTGTGTGTCTCACTATGAACTCACTCCCGAAAAAAAAACAAAAAAAAAAAAAACATTGCTTATTAAAACAAAACAAATGATCAAACTTTTATAATAAAAACATTTATTGTAACATTAAATGGCAAATTCAGGTCACATTTAGACATGGCCCAATTGATTGAATTACTTACATTTACAGTTAGCCATATATGCAATGTCTGATGCTGCATGTGGAAGAACTGTATTACAAAGACTGTATTTGTCGGTTGGTCATGTACATGCACAGCACACGAGGTCTTGCTTTTGCTTTCATGCATACATGCACACTTGATGCTACCTGAAAAATGTCTAATTTATATAAAGTATCAGGTTTGCAAGAAGAAAAAAATAAAGTCTATAAAATAGATAGATCGGCCAAACATGATTTGGTGATGAAGAGAAAGTAACCTTTGCAATAGTTAGGTTGTCTGGATGGAATAAAAGAATACTAGTACAGTACTCTGCAAATCTGGTTATTTTAATTGTTTTACAAGTAACATAGTATTGTGTTTTTAAAAAGATAGCAAATTTGATGATACTTTCACGGTTCCCAATTTTCCTCTTACACTTCACAGTGAATGTCTTCTTGTCTGTAAGATAATGTGTTACCTAAAGAGAAAGATCAGAAAAATCCCCCAAACTCTAGATTCTGTCCAATGTCTACTGAATATAGTATTGTAGGTATAGTACAAACTATACTAAACCTCTTTGAGGACAGTGTTATTTTTCTAGTATATACTAAGGTGAGATGACATAGGTTAGCTTGTCCCACGCATGAGCACTGCCCTGCACCTGTTACGTAACAAATATTATTTTCCCTTGTCTTTTTGGAGCAGATCAACATAGGCTCCTGTTAGGAGATCCTCAGGTGCAATCCCTAAAGACTTCATCAAGTTGTTGGCAATGTGCTGGCCATCATCTGGAGTTTGGGAGTCCGTCAGAACCACCTACAACGAAAAGATATTGGTGTTCATAAATATATGTCAATAGGTTTCTTTCAGCTTAAAGGCAAAATCTCTAATTAGACAGAGAGGAATATTTTTCTAAACCCCTACACACGTATCGACCAGGTGGCAGCACTGTACCATGGCTGTGTGATACAAAATCAAATACAAATATACAAAATTAAACCTTGTGCTCAAACTCCCACAATGACAGCAATTACTATAGTAAACATCCTCCCTAACACATTCAAGCTCACCTGCCACGTTAAGGTGAGGTGCTTAATGTTGTATATTTTTATTTGCTTTGGTATCACACCGCCATGTTACAGGGCTGCTGCCCATCCCAGGTTTCCCTATTAAGGGTTAAAAAATGTGCAAGGGTTTAAAAATAACTCTCTAGGTCTCTAGGTGAGTCCTACACTAACAATTCACTTTGCTCCTTTCAGCTTAAAGGTAAAATCCCAGAGGTTTATTCGTGGCAGGTGATCTTAAACGGCAATTGGAGTGATACTTAAAACCCTCCAATTATTTAAATATGCATATTACATTTGATAGATTGGCAGAATATTCATATGAGGCACTGAGGCCTCAATTTAATATATTTGGATAAACTTAAAATTATTTATTCAGTCAACATATTGAAGGGGACTGGCCATGCCCCAAACAATATATGCTGAATAGATGGTCCCAGCTGTCAGTCACTGCCTTGATGTGCATCTTTGTAATACATGATATATTTAAAGAATGTGGGAGTGATTTCATGCAAGTGAACATTTTTATTACATGTTTACTCTAAAAGAGGATAGAGACCTATAAATCAGAAAAAAAATAATCTAAATATTACAAAATGAAAATATATTATTTATAACATTAAAGGGATGCTATAGGCAACCAGACCACTTCATCCAACCTCCCCTCCTCCCACCTTAATTTTTGCAGAATGGCAATGTTTAAATGCCTCTAGTGGCTGTCACTCAGACACAGAGTGACATATAAAGAGTAAAAAAAGAATATGAGATTGGCACAGTGCTGCCTTTTGCCACGCATGTGCACTAGCTCCCCAATGCCACCATAAGGAAAGGCATTGGATTGGCTAAGATCATCCATCTCTATGATCTCATCCAAGGAGGCAAAGCCAGCTATGGAGACTAGCGCTGCAAATTAAAAAAAAAGGTAAGTAATCCTGCTTTTTAATTTTTTTACCTCCCTGCAAGTGAAGGCCAGTAACCTAAATGGTCACCAAGGAACTATAGCGTTAGGAACACACATTTGGATTTCTAACTCTACAGTGTTCCTTTAAATAATTTTCCAAGTTTATCCCAAAATACTAAATCATTTGGAAAACGTATCCAACAGTATTAAATTATGGCCTAAGTTAGTTGCATATTCAAAGAGGTATTAGTTGTTTGGGCAGGGCCCTGTTCACTTTTTCAGTATGTCAATCATGTTTTGTTAGAAATTAATGTTTGTCTTGTTTACCTAATGTACAGTGCAGTGGAATATCTTGGCGCAATATAAATGTAATTGAATAAATGTTTTTAGTAAACACTGCATTACAGAAACAAAAGGTCACATTAGGTTTTGAAGTAGCTTACATGGATTAGCATTAGACAAAGTAACAATATTGGCTAGAAGAATAATAAAATTCAAAATTAGAGCCCAAATAATATTCTATAAGAAACTGGTTACAAAATAAATACTTTGGGACTTAAAAAATCGTGCAACACGAGATTCTATAGGCACCCAGACAACTTCAGTTATTGAAATGGTCTGGGTGCAGTGCTCCTATCACTCTTAATTCTGCAATGTAAATCATTGGGGCAGAGGAAACTATAGTGTAAGGAATATTGCTTACACTATAGAATCCCTTTAAGCTACGATAAAAAACATGCCATAGCTCACCTCCAGTTCAACAAAGTCTCCAAGATCCTGCACCCTGTCCATGTGAATACGAGTCTGTCCAACTAGGAAGAGAAGACGTTCCTTCACAACAGAACCACGGATTCCCAATGCTTGGGTTAAAACCTCCTAGAAAGTGCATGTATACAGAAAATGCTAAGTTTAAGGCTTTTAGTATACAATAAAAAAAAAAAAAAAGATTTTAAAAACCTTGAAAACGTTAAACCTGAAGCTATCTCCCTCTGAAGTCACCAAGACCATGGTAGTAGGATATAGAGACGCTTTGCAATAGTATGCAGTGTCTAATATTGGTATGGGATAGGAGCATAGAGGAAAAGGTTAATGGAGGGAAGCCAAAGTTAGAAAGCTAGCCACTGCTACTCAAAAAAAAAAAAAAAAAAAAGGTAACAAATGGGTAAGACACAAAATACTTTTTTTCATTTAATAAAATCTAAATCAATTTGAGTTAGTACATCTGTAAAGGTTTCTACTCTTTAGCACAAAACTAAACTTGCATATTCAGGGTGGCAGAGATTGGCTGTATATTCCTTTTATACTTTCACTTATTTAAAGATGAAGTAACTCTACAAAAAGTATTTTTTGTTTCGAAGTCAAGTGTCGTGCATAAATAACATTTGCTAATGTTGGGGTACTTTTTAAATTAGTGTACAGTTTTCTCCACTATTGGCATCACTTATTGACTGTCAGATGCTAATGGCAAAACGTGAGGATAGCTGCTTAACTCAACTAAACTAGATCAGGCAGCCTCCGGCACTACAAATGTTGTGGACTACCCTGAGGCTTTGTCAGTATTATGGCTGTAAAAGCATTATGGGAGATGTAGTCCACAATATCCGGAGTGCCGAATATTGCTTACCCCTGACCTAGATTAAAACTATTTCTAATTTTAATTTATATTACCTTAAACTAATCCAGATTTTAGCTCTCATGCCACAAAATTATCACTCTCGTAAACCTCATTTCATAAAAGGACAGTACACATACTGTGGACCACAATCAAGCCAAGCTAACAATTAAAGTAGTTGCAGTCAACAGACTAACCATAGCCATGCCAATAAAAACATTGTACATTAACAAGTAATTGAATGCAAAGTCCATTTTTCTGTAGCAGCAACTTGCTTTTGCTTTGTATTGATATAGAGCAAGTCTCTCAAAATATAGTTTTTCTGTGTGCTTTAAGTTTAATGTAGTGAGTGAGAGAAGGAATTAACAGGAAACTAATCACCAAAACACCTTCTTAATGAAGCAGTTTTAGTGTATAGATCATGCCCCTGCAGTTTTACTGCTTAATTCTGTGAATTTAGGAGTTAAATCACTTTGTTAATACAGCCCTAGTTACACCTCCTTGCATGTAACATTTTACACTTCCTGTAAAGAGAGAGCTAATGTTTACAGTTCCCTTTTTACACAGTCTCTCTAATTTAGAATTTATCTCCTGCACTCTTAATAGTTTGCTAAACCTTTCAGGGGCCTCCTGTGTGTAATTAGAGTTCACTTGACAGAGCAGGAGATAAAAATATCTAAAGTAATTTAACATAAGATTAAAGTGAATATTTTTTCATGCAGGTGTAATTCACAGCCAGGGAACACAAACAAACTTAAGGAAAAAACAAAACAAAAATAAATAAAAACAGAGCACAAGTTTGAAGGTGCCCAAAATAGTAATAAATATATATTTTACATCTAGAATGTTGAAGACAGATACCAACATTTTCCAGATAGATTGCTACTGCAAGAAATACACGGTGCAGGCAGTTTATTTTTTCTTCCCTTTTTACATTTACATAAAAATATCGCTGCCAGGGATTCCCTTTTCCCTTCGAGGGATTATAGCTCTCCCCAACAGGGGGTCATTAAAGATTAAAATAGGTATTGCACAAACCTTGTGCCTCAGTGTCTGGTAGTTAAATTATCTTGTTGTGAGTAACTGCCAGACACCATTTGACAATCGCATGTAGCTCTCCTCCAGAGTAGTAAGCAGTTCAAAATGCACTCGGATCAGAGGTGTCTAGCTCAAGTTATTCAGAGTGAAAGGTTTAGCCGTGGAGTGACTACCCTCCGACCCGGCGTACGGTTCTAGGTGGCTGAGTGGAAAGTCCTGGTCACAAGATGGCTTTTGCGGACTGCAGTGCATGGAGCTAATAACAGAGCCTGCATATTTTCATGGATTACTGGTGCTATTGTTATACTATTTAACAAAATACTATTTTTGCATATACCTAAAAGAGCGCTCTTTAGAGGGGAAATAGGAAGGGACATTGCAGACTATCACTATGTGAGAGCCAGGGGGGTCCCCCCTTTCAAAGAACAAAGGAATCCCGGTTCAAAGACCGGCATTTATCCGCAACCAGTCTGGAACCCCACGCTGGATTAAGATGCGACCAACATCCGGTCAAGACTGTACTTTATGATCCATTGGGCTTGGCACTTACGATCCAGTTGCTGTTGGGAAATAACGTTTTGGGAATGAAGACCTGTGCGGGGACATATGATTCATAATGTTGCATTGCATATTTTAAACTATTGGGGGGATGGTGGAGGGCAGTTTGTGAAGAACCACCCTAAAGCCCCCTTATTGTGAATCAGTCGGCACCGCTGGCATGCCAACTGTAGGAGGTCCAGCGCTACGTTCAGACAAACCGCGTGGAACTGTTTTGAGCTTGAACTTTAGCCATAGCCGGTCAAAACTTGAACCGAGTGGCGTTTTCACTATACCCCCTGTATAGGCACTATCTGGGGATATAATATGTGGGGTGGGCAGGTTTGTGTTGTACGGCTCAGTGTATGGAAGATAACTAAATTAGGCCATATATGTTGCAATCCTCTCCCAGGCACAGAGACGACTGGGCGGGATCACCTATACCTTTGCTGGAGACCACATGCTGGTGTTCTGTGTATATAAACTCGCATCGTTTCCAATAAAGGTTATTATTCTCCCCAGCACTATGTACCATCTGGTGTTTGGGGAACTGGGCTATAAACACCTAAACAACTCCTTCTAGTTAGAGGAAATTTCAGCGGAGTTAGCCAGTCGGGATATCAGAGCTACCTAAAGTCTTTGTTGCGAGCAAAAGGAGAAGGAATACTGCCTATAATGTATATTCTAAAATATTAACCTTAATAGTGAACGAAATACAACGTGATCATTCCACACATATACTCTTAATACGTCTAGATATATGCATAGACAAGCATAAGGAGATGATATGCAGAAATGTAAGAATTAAAACAGACAAACAGCATCTAAAGAAAGGAGATGTTGTTTGAAATATTTTCTCTGTTACAGTTAATTCACTGTTACAGAGTATCAAGAGTACTCCGTTGAGTGTGGTCAAGCTCTCAAATAGAGATTATCTGCAGCTGTAGTTCATACCGAGTACTCTTCCTTGTGAAACTTTCTAAAGTCTTTGTTATCAGTGGTTGCCTTGTCACCTTCCAAATAGAGCCCTATTTGGTGATCATGTCACTGAGAGGTAACTCCCAGCCAGGTGCACTGTACCTTGGAGAGCCTCTCCTAACTCCACAAGAGTCCTAGAGGGTTTATTTTGGCTCTCTAGCTGTGAGGTAAAGTAGGTAAGTGGTTGGTACCATGGAAAAAAAAAAAAACTTTTAGGAGAAGGTGGTGGCAGAGAGCATCAAATTTACAAACAGAGAAAAGGAGCACAGGCAACTGCAATATCAAAAGGATTGAAAATACAAAAAAAAAAAAAAAGTTTCTCCTGAGCTGCAGCTCCTCCCACTGTAGTTCCAGCAGTGTAAACCAAATAAACATAGAAAAAAAATTAGGTCTGTGCTTCCAGTTGTAGTGTGCACCAATGTGCTACCAAACATTTCATTAGAAGAATGTTTCGGGCACAAGCCCCTTTTTCAATGCAACTGGAAGCGCAGACCTCATTTTTTCGGTTTATCAAATTTACAAAAAACATTTTTAAAGCAAGCCCCTTAATGCCAAAAACGTTTCTTCTCTTTTTTACTGCCAATGTTACAAACCTCAAGGCCCTGGGGATCAGCTGTATTAGAGATTGCATAATTTGAAAGCTTTGGTCCAAGAAGATCTGGGCGCTCATAATAGATCAGCTGACCTTGTCCATCCTGAGAAAAACAAGACAGAGAGAATACCAAGTATTTTATCTTTCAAACAAGGCAGACAGATACAAGGCCTACTGTAACAAATTATTCAAGTTCACAAAAATCATCATAACAGATGCAATGCTAAAAGTATCAAAGAGATGGAATAGTATTTGTGAAAGAAAAAGATTAAATAAATTAGATTATCGTTGTTATTCACCAAAAGGAAACTTATTAAGAATGTCACATTTCATATTTTAGGTCAAGACAACCTAATTGGAAACGTTCCTGAACCTCATCTTACCAGCTACGGTTTGATGGGCCTAAAATTTGCAATTACCTGGCCAGGTCACAAGTTACCTAATAACCTTTTATGAGGAAATGCAAAAAAAAAAAAAAAAGTTAAAAAAAATGGAATGCTTCAATGTGAACAACTAAAGAAGAAGGCCATTACATTAGGAATAAAAACACAAAATACCTTAAAATCTCGTAATTTGAGTCGGCCACATTGAGTGTTGAAAAATACATCTCTCTGTGCAATTATTTCCCCAGTGCTCTCACTTAGGTTCTTACACTCCTTAAGAGTGTGAGCCCAATTGTGAACTCTTGCTTTCACTTCCACGTTCCGAGGCATCTACGATACAGCATAAGACCATATAAAAATGATACATGTATTAAAGAAAAATAAAAAAAAAACAGGCATTGAAGAAAATTGTTATTTAGTAAAGTGTGAATTGTTGGAAATTCAAAGTAAATATCATATGAAAGGCCAATATAACCGAACACAGCTATGCTTTAAGTTTGGTTGTTTTGGTTTAAGACTTAAAGGATCGCTATAGGGTCAGGAACACTAACTTGTTTTCCTGACCCTATAGTGTTAAAACCACCATCTAGCCCCCTGTACCCCTCATGCCTCCATAAATATAGCAAAATCTTACTGTAGTCAAGCCTGAAGCTGTAACTCTGCATGCTGTTTGCCTCAGAAAAACAAGCAGTCAGCTGGCATCATCAGAAGTGGTAGCCTGATCCAATCACAGTGCTTCCCCATAAGATTGGCTGAGATTGACAAGAGGCAGAGCAGGGGCAGAACCTGCATTATTCAAACACAGCCCTGGCCAATCAGCATCTCCTCATAGAGATGAATTGAATCAATGTATCTCTATGAGGAAAGTTCAGTGTCTGCATGCAGAGGGAGGAGACCTGAATGTTTGGATACATTTTAGGCAGCCATGACCCAGGAGGGATCTCTAACAGCCATCTGAGGAGTGACCAGTGAAGTTATCACTAGGCAGTAATGTAAACTTTTCTCTGAAAAGACAGTGTTTACAGCAAAAAGCCTGAAGGTAATGATTCTACTCACCAGAATAAATTCAATAAGCTGTAGTTGTTCTGGTGACTATAGTGTCCCTTTAAAATTCACATTAGAGAATAACCATGAGAGGCATTCCGCTGTAGAACCACAATCTCCAATAAAATGAGGTTTTTTGTTTTAGATTTTGAGCACATTCTGGCTAAAAAGTAACATTTTTGAAACATGGTAACTGGTCAAAATATAGCCTGACTGCACAACCACCCCATGAATAAAAATGGCGTATTCAAGAGAAACCATAGTGCCAGAAAAACAGTTTTTTTCCTAGCACTATAGCTGCCTATAGTGCCTCCTACCCGTTAGACAGCCACTAGAAGTAACGTTAACCCTCAAAAGGTAATTATTGCGGTTTATTAAAAATTGCAATATTACCTTTGCAAGGCTATGGGTCCTGGGACAGTGCACCCAGACCACTTCAATGAACTGAAGTGGTCTGGGTGCCTATAGTGTCCCTTTAATATATGTCGTGATTTAGAATGGTTTGGGTAACAGCCTTATTGACATTTGTCACTACAAAATACATTTCTTTGGGTTCTCATCTGAATGAGGATTGTCTCTTTATTTTAAAGCTCTCTCAAGTACTAGATTAACAGTGAATGACATCGGTAAGCCAAAATACAAATTGAACACTGTACTGAACATATGGAATAATATGAAATATTAAAATAAATATTTTACCTTTGCAGAGTTATTCACTAAACTGAAGACTGACAGGGATTCTAACTGAATTACAAATTTAAGCCAAATTGTAAACAGAACTGACTTTTTCAAGAAAAAAAAAAAAATTGCCCTTATTTTTTTAAATTTGCTTTTAATTCCCACCAATTCTGACTTTTTACTATTTCAATGTGTATTGCCAGCTCTGTATTTTGTAACTATGAGCTTAGAAAAGGGTTACTCACAAAAAAAAAAAAAAAAAAATGGAATCTCTCAGCGCACTTTAAACTGCTGAATAGCTAACCACTGTAGGAACCTACAGATCTCAAATAGAACTCCCAGGTTGTAATTCAACTCAGGGGTGTTTGGAAAAGTACAAAAAACACACAAGTGACAATGCCACTTAAAAAAACAAAAACACAATTAAATTATTTTTCATTTTACATTTGTTTTAAAGAGGTAATGCAAAGTTTTTTTTTGTTTTTTTTAAAGAGCTAGTCTTGCACAACCATTCAGCATGATCAGAATGTTGAAAAAGAATACAAAAAAAAAAAAAAAAGGAAATCCAAGATAGTTACAGGCTGTTGGCACCATATGATCTTAGCAAAATTATTTTAATCACTGTCTGTCAGAAAGGGATTTTGATATAAACTAATTGCATTGCAACTGCCTGGTGGGACCAAACCCAGCTAACCACATTGCAAATGAAAGCTCACCCAATTCTATAAATCGTCTCAGATGAGCACTGAGGACCTACTAGATATGCAGCCACTTGTCACACTCAGCCAATTGGATGCTTCTCATAGAGAAGCACCGAATCCATGGAGTCTCACAAATGAGCAAATACACCTCATGGGGGCTTTGACACACACCCAGAAGGTCCCAGGTATATGGTCAAACCAAACCAATCGCAAATAGTTTGACTATTTGCCTAAGGAGGGCAACAGAGCACCCCCAGCAATAGCACAATTATAGTGGTTATGGTGCTTGGAATGTTTCAATAACCCACTAAGCCCTGAGGAGCTTCCTTCAAACATAGTGTCCAGTTTGGAACTCCCAGGATTCTGAGAGAGAATGTTAAAACACTTTAAAAAAAATTGCATCCTGTTGGGTAACTAAGGTTTAGAAAGACATATACATATATATATATATATATATATATATATATATATAAAAATAAATTATGATTTTCAGAAAGATCCCTTAGGGTCGGCAGATCCATGTTTTCCTGAACTTATAATTTCTTTATGTTGATTGGCAGCAGATGAATTTACAGGCTCCAGGGAGGATAAATTAATCTTATTAAACAATGGCCAGATCAGAAGGCATGGCATGGCAGCACTTTTCATACAGCATCCTCCCATCCTGGCTGGGTGTCCCCACTGGTACAGGCCGCTCAGCTAGTCACTCACTCTGACAAATGACTGGTAAACGTTGCCAGTGCCAGCAGCAGCCATCATTACCCAGCGCTGCCCGGCTACACAGCGCTCTCATATGCACTCACCTCGGGCTCCTGCCAGCCAAGAACTCCCGCCAACCACAGATACGACAGCCAGGTAGGCAGCCAATCACCGACCTCTGTGCGTTCCAGCGCTAGCCAATCACAGCTGAGGGTGCGTTCCACTGGTCAGCCTTTCCATCATTCCACCTATCAGGGCTGTCCGTGCTGTCGGCGGCGGCGTTCTATTGGTGCTGCCGGGAGTGGGCGGGGCCACGCGGGGCTGTCAGAGTCAGACGGGTGACACATCACATCCAAGTCGCAGGCAGAGCGCTGACATATTCTATAGCGCAGTATTGGGAGATGGCCGGGCTGTGACCGTCCCAGTTCCCGCACTGTCCCTCGTGACTCCTGTATCTGGCCTGCAGCTCCCGATACACAGCATGTCCGCCCAGCCCGCACCCCCAGCACCCCCGGCGCCCCCTGCATCCCCGGGGCCAGTGTCTCCTGGAGGCCGCCGGCTGGAGATTAGCCTGGAACTCCAACAGAGAGCCTACACCCTATGCAGAGAGTACCTGAGAGGGGTCTGGAGGATCATCCAACCGCAACAAATGAGAGTGGCTGTGGTCAGGTAAACATTACTGCACCCACTGGGTGTCTGAGCATTATATCCACTACTACTGCTGCACCCATTGGGTGTCTGAGCATTATATCTACTACTACTGCACCCACTGGGTGTCTGAGCATTATATCCACTACTACTGCACCCACTGGGTGTCTGAGCATTATATCCACTACTACTGCACCCACTGGGTGTCTGAGCATTATATCCACTACTGCTACTGCACCCACTGGGTGTCTGAGCATTATATCCACTACTACTGCTGCACCCATTGGGTGTCTGAGCATTATATCCACTACTACTGCACCCACTGGGTGTCTGAGCATTATATCCTACTGCTACTGCACCCACTGGGTGTCTGAGCATTATATCCACTACTACTGCACCCACTGGGTGTCTGAGCATTATATCCACTACTACTGCACCCACTGGGTGTCTGAGCATTATATCTACTACTACTGCACCCACTGGGTGTCTGAGCATTATATACTACTACTACTGCACCCACTGGGTGTCTGAGCATTATATCCACTACTACTGCACCCACTGGGTGTCTGAGCATTATATCCACTACTACTGCACCCACTGGGTGTCTGAGCATTATATCCACTACTACTACTGCACCCACTGGGTGTCTGAGCATTATATCCACTACTACTGCACCCACTGGGTGTCTGAGCATTATATCCACTACTACTGCACCCACTGGGTGTCTGTGCATTATATCCACTACTACTGCACCCACTGGGTGTCTGAGCATTATATCTACTACTACTGCACCCACTGGCTGTCTGAGCATTATATCTACTACTACTGCACCCACTGGGTGTCTGAGCATTATATCTACTGCTACTGCACCCACTGGGTGTCTGAGCATTATATCCACTACTACTACTGCACCCACTGGGTGTCTGAGCATTATATCTACTGCTACTGCATCCACTGGGTGTCTGAGCATTATATCTACTGCTACTGCATCCACTGGGTGTCTGAGCATTATATCTACTGCTACTGCACCCACTGGGTGTCTGAGCATTATATCTACTGCTACTGCACCCACTGGGTGTCTGAGCATTATATCTACTACTACTGCACCCACTGGGTGTCTCGTGTCTGAGCATTATATCTACTACTACTGCACCCACTGGGTGTCTGAGCATTATATCTACTACTACTGCACCCACTGGGTGTCTGCTCATTAGCTCTGCTACTAGTGTGCCCCCTAGAGATCTGCTACTAGTGTGCCCCCTAGGGATCTGCTCCTTATCACTACTACTACTGTGCCCACTGGGCGTCTGCTCATTATCTGTACTACTACTGTGCCCCCTAGGGATCTGCTCCTAATCGTTACTAGTAGTGTGGGCATCTATTTCTTATCACTACTAGTGAACCCACTGGGTACCTGCTCCTTATCACTAGTTATACTGCACCCACTGGGATCAGTTCTATTTCTTATCACTACTGCACCCAATGGTCATCTGTTCCTTATCACTTCCACGAAGGCACCCACTGTACCCACTGCACCCACTGAGCATTTGTCCCTCATCACTACTTCTACTGCACTCTAAGGGAATTACGGTAATTCCATATTACTACTGCTTGCACCCACTCTGTATTTCCTTCTAAATTCTCCTGCTTTGGCATACTGGACATATCTCTAACATATTACTACTGGTACACCCACTGGACTAGGTTTTTTTCCTTACCTTATTGCTAAGTCACCCAGTGACCACTTATATATAAAACATAGGGGGATGGTCGCACTCACCTGAACATGCTTAAATGGGGTGCTGCTGGGGGCCATATTATACAATAAACAATACACAAGATCCAGCGCACTCTCCTATCTACTAAACAGCAACTTCAATGTTGACAGATTTTATTAGTTTTTTTCTAAAGGGTTTATTTTTTTTTTTTTTTAAACCTACTTCTACTACAATCTTCATGTAATGGTTTACACACTGAAACCTAATACCTAATCTACACCTGATACTCACATGCTGCACCCAAGGATACATGTTAAATACAAGCTGTTATTAAAGTTACAGTCTATCAATTGCTATAGGATCAAAGATTACCCTTATCCTTATGTATTGATTTTATGTATGTTAATATAAAACTTAAAGCAAACAATGATGTAACTCCTAATTCTGTTCTACACAGGTCTGACCAGTAGGTCAGCACGAGACATCATATAAATGGGTATATTCCCTACCTAAAACATGAAATGATTGTGAATGTTAAAGTTGACTTTAACGTAATTGGGAATTTATTTTCCTAAATCAGCTGTTTTGCCTTTTTTTTTCTCTCTATGTTTTTGTATAATATTTACCTTGGGCTTATCATTTTGCCTCTGTCAGAGTGCTGAAACCTTTTTTCCGACATCCGCTTTCTTACTAAAAGACTTGAGCTTTAGATATGAAGCAATGTTTTCCTCTTATTGTATGTCTAAAGTTACTGATTAATCAGTCATACTTGTTATCTCCTACACACATCCTGTGAATTTCCAGGTGTAATGTAATATATATACTTTTAATGATAATTCTGGAGTAAATCCCACAACCTAGGCATCATGTTTTAGGATAAGCATTTTAAATTATTTAATATTTTTGAATGTGTTTGTGTTTTTTTAAATATATATGTATTAAATTATTTTATTTTTTATAAATAGTACATCATTTTAAAAGCTTATACAAATTATATTAAATATAGTAAGGCAATAACAAGATTTAAAATATTACTATAATCCTTTTCACATTATAGGTTTTAAGCTCATTGAGCAGGGCCACCTCTCTGTTCCTGTATGTCTGGTTACAATTAAATGTCTGTTAGTCCACCCTTTGTACAGCGCTACGGAATATGATGGCGCTATATAAATAAAATAATAATATAGTTTTATAATGCTCTACTTAGCATGCATGTGTGCTTGTGTATGGAAGGAGTGAAAAAAAGAGCTAGACTCTAAATGAGGGGAGGGAGTGCAATGATTGAAGATCACTACGTCTGTTAATATCACACAGTGCTTGCCAATGACAAAGTATTTTTTGCACAGAATTGAGAAGACTGCCTAATAAGTCACGTGTGTCGTGAATGCAACTAGCCCCCTGCACAAAAGTACAATTAGCTTTGAAACACTGCCCTTACAGATTCCTTCCTCCCATGGCCTCTTCTAAAAGCATAAGTGGTCATGGAGGCTGGAGCAAAGCTTTAATTTGTTTGATAAGTGATGGTCTAGGCTAGGACAAGAGAACATTTAAGTAAAGAGATTTTTGATTGGGGCTGAGTAGAGAGTAACTTGAAATTCTGTAGAAAAACTAATGCAGGAAAAATACTTTGGAAGAAGTGCAGGAGAGACCCAAAGTTTACCGATATAGCATACTTACTAGGTATGGAAATACTGGTACATTTTTAGAAAAAAGATAAATAAACCATATACAATACATTTCAGAATCCCCAACAATAACAGAAAGCTTGTATGAGCAGGGTCATCCTCGTATCATTTTGTAAATGTCTCACGTTTTGTTAAATTTTCCCCTTTCGTAATATTGTAAAGCACTGCGGAATACATTGGCGCTATATAAATACCGATAATAATAATAATATCAAGGCTCCTGGATACGTTAATTCTGGTGCCTACATTTTTGGAGAATTTTACCTTTTAGGTTTTGTTGAGTAAACAGCAAATTATAGTGAGTTAGCAAGCAATCTGCAAAATTTAGGCTTAAATAGCAAAACTGTAACTAATGCCAAATCATAACTTTGCTTAGATTTTTGCAATTTGACTTTCAGTTCACTGCATTTTTTTAAAGTCTCATCCCGGTTTAAAGGGAAAAAAACAAACAAACAAAAACCACACACAACAAACGAAAAAAGCATTGGTACCAAATCTGTTTTTGTTTGTTGTGTTTTTTTTTTTGCTTGTTATTATTTTCAGATATTAGTTTATAATTTATTTCAGAAACCGGTACAGCAATGTTTCCACTCAATATATAAACCTTTGTCAAACTTAATAGAGACTCCTATTGAGCATAAATGTTCATGTACCTGTTCTTGAAATAGATTCTGCTATTTTTGGATACCACACTGTGTGCCCAGGCTTTCTATTCTGATTAATCTCCTGGGAACTTGCCCATGCCTACTTCCTGCACCCATGTGGATTTTGTCCCTACTTTCCAGCGTATGAGTTTTCGATGTGGTGAACAAGCATAGTTCTGTATTGTCCTTTTAGACACCAACTCGTCTGACTCCCTTACCTCCCTGCTCCTTAGCATAGCTGGAAATTCACAGAGAAAGCAGGCCATTAACTGGCACTACATCATTTTGTTTTTGGGTTTGTATGGCATAAATGAAGTAATCCGCAGGCAAAAAGAAATGGTTTATTGGACTATAAAAAAAATAAAATTATATATGTTTTGTCCAAAAGGACTTAAGTCTTAGTGGTCGAAACATTGTATTTTTTTTTTTTTTTTCTTCATGGTCTAATAAACCATTTCTTTTGTATAACACTGTGATGCCTGTAAATTACCTCTCCTAATACACATTTGGGGAGCAGACTTCTACCACGGCGCTCCACTGTACTATTTATTATGCTCTTATGTGCACATTACTTTTGATTTTCATCTCATCTCCCTTCCTTTTTGTGCTCTATATCTTTATTTTTCATCTTACTATGTACTGCTATGTTTACTTTTTAGTGTTTCTGTAAAAGTTCACAAAAATCTATCAAATCAGTCACCAACACCTGAACAATGAGGCTCAAAAAGGTCTTACAAATGCACATGGCACTTACCAGCATTTCCGATCTGGACTGCTGTTAAACAAGTGTGTGTGTGTGTGTGTGTGTGTGTGTATATATATGTATGTGTGTGTGTATATATATATATATATATATATATATGTATGTGTGTGTGTGTGTGTATATATATATATATATATAATTGCTTTCTACTTGAAGCCTGGAGGGCCCATGGCACACTCACCAGCTGTGAATTTCTACTGGCAATTGCCAGTGGCTAGTGTGTGAATGAACAATTTTAGCTCTTTAAAATGGAGTTAAAACGTGTGAGAATTAAGAGGAAACTTTAACAGAAGGTCAAGCTACCAAGTTTTTGTTCAATGTCAGTCTTCTCTTACATTCAGTTTCTCTAGCTAATAACTTTCATTGTCAACAAAAACATGGACTTAAAAGGTTCTCGTAGTTCACGTTCCCCAGCTACGATCATCTTTTAAATAATGATTTTTTTTCACATTACAGCCATAATATCAAGCAAGTAAAAGGTTGACAAGAATTACAAATTAAACTACCGTTTTTTGGACTTTAACCTATTTGCACAACAAGATATTTTATGTCCAAAAGTATGATTGCTTGATATCAGATCAGGAACATAGTGCAGTGACATAAGCATAACCTTTTACTTGACACAATTGAAAAGATAGGTCAGTAAATGTATCTATGCCTCTCACCAAAAATGGTGAGAAAAAATACTGGAGTTGGGAAACTAAACATATTTTTTATTTAGAAAAATTATTAAGTGTAAAATAAGGACATTTTGGGATATAGAGCTCCTTTGCCTCCACTTGTGGTCAGAAAATATGATTAAGAGGAAATTATGAAGGTTTTTTTTTTTTTTTTCCTAACCGGTATTGGTTTTATTGGCCCCTTCACTTTAATTAGGGTGAGGGGGGTAAGTATGGGGAAAATGGAGGGATCAGTATTCCCATATTATAATGAGAGCCCCCACATGCTTTCCATTGGTGAGGACTGAAGTATCCCCCCCATTTAACAATAAGTAGACTACCTATAGTTTTTTCACTTGGGGTACCTAGAGCCACTAGGTTTATTTTTAATGTTTTTTAATTACTTCGAGCATCCATACGCCCCTACTGCATTTTATATATTCAACATGCACCTGCTCACCCTTTGTTAAGAATGAAAATGCAAAGGTCTAATGTTCAGTGATTAAAAAAAGAGCAGGATATATAATAGTGATTGGCAGGGACCAAAGGTGGAGACTGTCTATATCAGGATTATCAAGTATAGTGGTGTGAATTTCTACTTTTAATATTATTATTTTTTATTTTATTTTTAGTCCTCACAAACACGTTTATTAAATAAAAGGGGTGCATAAACTTTAAAAAGTCTTTGTAAGTGACAGTAATCCTTTTGAGGGAGACCTGCACTGTAACACTACAATAAGCATTTATCTAGAGTGTCCCTTAATAAAGGAACACCACGCTAATCAACATTCCTACAAAAGCTAATTATATAGTTATGACACCTAGTTTAATAGGAGCAGTTTGACATGAACTGGAGTTCCTACCAGCACCCTGAATCCACTACCTCCTTGGCCGCATTAATTATGTGCAATAAGCTTTTCTGCATTATGAACTTGTCGAAACTGTATGGCAGTGATTGGCAGAGTTCTGGCAGAAAGTGAGCCTAGTGCTCTGAGCCTATCAATGCCAATCACACACTATCAATGTGATCTCCAGCCTTGGTTTATGCCAAACTGTAAAACAAACAAAAAAAAAAGTTACCTGCACACTCTCCAATATCCCTAGGCACATTTAAATAACAGAGATGTTGTATCATTGAAATGGTCATTAAAGTGTAAGCTCACATGCCATATCACTAACTATTCACCTTGCTGCTTTCAGCTAACAGGCCAAACCTCTGAGACAGAAAGGGATATTCTCATGAGTTTCTACACATTCATTAACCCTTATTAACTATTGCATGCTAACTAGTTACACATTAAATCGGTGGACAGCACCAGGCCAAAATTGGCAACATAACCACTACAGAGCTGAGGCCGAGAATTTTTATTTGACCTTGGTAAAAACCGTCATGGTTTTTTATTTTTTTATAAATGTTTGTGGAAATTCCACTGAGCCACATATGCTACTAGATTTCTTTTCTCGTCATATAATTTTTCCAAATAATGACTGGATGTAAAATAACATGGTTAGAGAGACAAGCCTGACTTTATTAAGTCTGCTTGGGTATAAGTCAATGGCAAATAGATACTAAAGCATTTTTATTTTTTGCACTGCACAGAGCGTAAATAACAATTAACAAGAATTGTAAATGGTTTCTAAACAGCTAAAATAATTGCTGTGTAAGAGACATATTGAGGATCCAAGGCCAAACTAGCTGAATTGGGAAAATTCTCCAAGTCAGCCGTTTCCAGTTTGGATATTTTGGTCTATAATTTGAAATTCACTTTTTTTTTTCATCAGCTCTCACTTTAGTGAATGACACTGACTTTGTATTGTATTGTTTCTGTAGTACCTTTTTTACATTAAAACATGAGCTTTGCCTGGAAGTGACCTCTAAAGCCTGGTGGCAGTAGGGTGCAGGGGAAGCTGTACCTCATG